ACACACTTCAAGAGAAGGTAAAATTAACATCTTTTCATTGAAAACATGGAATTCACTATGAATATTTATTTTTTTCTAAGTTTGAAAAATAATTGTGATAAATTTAAGCAATTCTATTTAAAATTGAAGTTTATTTATCACAATTATTTAGTTTTCATTTTTTTATTCAGAAGTTTTGATTGATGATAAAACGAGAAACAATCAAGAACAAAATTTCCTGAAACATTCTAGGAAAATCGATCCAAAATTCTTTAATCAACAGTAAGAAAACATTGGTTGCAAGCTTGTGGAAACTTTGTTAGTTAATTTTGTAGTAAAAAAAGCATAACATACGCTATTGAGTGCTTAAGTGTTTGTTTGAATTGAAAAAAACCGGAAAAAAACTGGATATTAATAAAACATCGACTAATTGAAAGGTTTTGTGTAGTTACCAATTCAGAGTTTTCCCTGTTTAGTGCTTGTAAAAGTTTTCAAAGAGTAGTGCGTTGATAGTCAAATAATTGAGGCTAATTTTCTAACAGTTGTGGTGTTCTACTGTTTTTTGACAATTTCAGAAAAAAATTTGATTACTGGCCTGGAAAAGATGAAAAAATTTATGTTTTTGCTAACCTCTGAAGACTTCGAGATAAAAATGTACATCATTCTCACCCAAAAGTTTATTTCAAAATATAGTTCAGACTTGGAACAGCTATATACAGTTTTCAGGTTTAGAACATCGTTTAAAAATTTTTTAGCAAAGGATTTATGATAGTGACTTTGCTTCGGATTATTGAACGTTCGCTGAAATGATACATCTTTCCATCTAAAATTTATTTTTCAAGTAAAATTTTCCTCAAATTGGATTAAGTTGGAAGATAGTAGATGAAGCAGAAACTGGGAAAAGCTAAATTGAGATAGAAACTCCTTTTAATCCTTTAGGGGTTTTCAGATAATTTAACCAAAATTTAGCTTCTAATATTATCTGGAGAAAAAATTCAACATAAGAAGCCTTAAAAATTTAGTTTTAGTTGTAATTTGTTGAAAACTCAACTCTGACTTCTTATGGAAGATAATTCACGAAACATAATTCAAAAAATTTGCTTTCAAGATCGACATTTCAATATTTTCCGACAAAAATATTTGAAGCAAAAATATTTTAGAGGAAATAACACGGAATTTGCTAAAAAATTCTTAGCAACTTTTAGCAGGACCAGATGTTGATTATAAAAAAATGAACATTAAAAATTTCAATTAGACACAGAGTAAAGATTTTGTTCTGGTTAGCTACAGTTTTTTTTCAATGAGAAAATTAGATAGAACTATAGTATTTTGCCTAATAAATATTGCAAAATTATTCAATTGTCACAGTTTGCACATTGATTTCCGTTGCTAAATTGAATTTTTTAAGACGCGCTCTTTTAGAAGTATTTAGATGTTGCAGTTGTTGGAAATTTGATTCCCTTGCGTTCTTCTACATCCGAAGGTTGCCAGCTTATAACCAATAGAGATGCTCTTAATTTGTTCTAAAAGCTCAACGTAAAAACACACCTTTGTTTTCTCAATTTTTACATGAGCTTTTGAATGCCTTAAATAGCGCCAATTCTTTCTCACTTGGACGTTTTGAGAAAACTTCCAACAAAAATCAAGAATAAGAAGCGGTTTAATAACTATTTAGCAAGAAAAGTGACAGTTAAGGATCCCAAAAGGTGTGTTTTTGATTAAATAGTTTACTGTAGCAGCTGAACAAGGGACCCTTAAAGAGAAAACGTACAAGTTTACATAGTAATAGTCAGACGTTATCAGTTCAAAATTTATCTCTGCCAGCAAATTGTTCGTTCAATTGATACATATTAATAATCAGACGTTATCAGTTCTAATTTTATCTCTGCCAGCAAATTGCTCGTTCATTTGTTCGTTCACATTTTCGTTCACTTGGTCGTTCACTTGGCACCCAGTTCTGACTTAAAATCTTGCAAAGTGAGTTCAATAGCGAGAACATGTATTAAGCAGAAGGCAAGAATAACCTTAAAACATAAACAATTTGTACGGAAAAATCATGAAAGTTATTTTGCAGAAACAACAGAGGAATAATCATCAGTTATGAAGTAGAATTTGTTGAATGTCAAAATACTTTTGAGAAAAACATCTCTTTTTTATTAATTTTTAGCAGTTAAGAGTCCATTTTTTTATCATTGATATGAGATTAGCTACTATTAAAAGGAAAAATTTCCCAGAAGTTGCAATTTTTGTACAAATTTGGGCTAATCTTTGAAAAAAAAACTGACGAAGAGTTGAACCATGGAGTCTGATCTAGAAAATTCAATAAGCATTGCTCTTACTGTTATATTGATTTGAAGTTATTAGTTAAATTCTCGCTAAATTGTACAAAATTTTCCAACTTTTATTCGAAATTTTGTATCATTGTCTCAACATGATGACAATTAAAATACAATTTGAGCTCAATTTGAAACTCTGTACATAAACTTATTTCTTCAATAAGATCAAAAGCAACAAAAATTTAACCAAAATTATGAGATTGCTTTTTTTCCAAAAACTTGAAATTTTGCAACTTTTTCTAAATACTTTTAAAAATTTGCATTTTTTTTCAAAAACTTTGACTTTTTTCAAAGTTCCAGTAGATTTCAGCATAGTTTCAGGTAGATGTTTCGAGAAAGTAAGATCATATAAGAAAATAATTAATAGGTCGAGTTATAACAAATCTTATCGTGTTTTGAAGTTTTTCGAGAAAAAATTTGAAAAAAACCTCATTTTTTGCTCAAAAACTCTTACCATTGACTTACCATGCACCAAAAACTAATTAAAAGACATCTACATGTAATTAACCAGTGATATTCAACAATTTGATAACGTGCGCCGAAATTTTTGCGAAAAAACTCTTTTCACACAAAAACCAAAAAAAAGTTTTTTTTTCTCTTACCATCACACTGAAACTATTGGTACTCCCTATACTCGTTCACTGGTATTCCAAATCTCAAGACATTGTAGACTCTATAGCTAACCTTAATACATAGCATGGCTGAAAGCAAATCTATAACGCATCTTAATACACAAAGTCAACCATGCTCAAAGTATACTTTTTAGCAAAAGGCAGTCAAGTCTGAAAACATTATCAAGTGGGTAGCGCTAATACAAAAAGGTTTTGAATTAGCTACATTAAAAAATATAATTAATATAGCCTATTCCGAAGAGAAAACATCAGGTCAAAGTTCGTCTTTCACTAATATGGTTATGTTTTTGGTTGGAATTTGGAGTTCAAAAAGTAATCTAAGCATGTTAAGAAAAAACTAGCTGAAATAGCTATTCTGTATAAATTGAGAAAACATTTCAAAAGAAAACAACTACTGCAAAATTAAAAAACGCTAAGCCTATATTGGAATATGGAGCTTTTCTACTCGAAACCACCGACAAAACTCTGATCGACGACTTGAAAAATCCCAGTGCTTTCTTTGAACCTTATGCTTGAACCTACAAATTTTTGACTTTGTTCTGGAAAAAAACGATGCGAGGGGAAACATTTAAAGAGCAACATCTAAAACAAATGATTTGTCTTTTAGCAGAAATATTACAAGGTAAGTCACAAAATGATGATTTGAAATAATCTTCAAACTAAGCTGATTTACAAAAGTCACTTAGCGAAGAAAGTAGCATCAGTGTACTCAATTAGAAACTACAAAAAACCATCGAATTTTCTGAAAAACGGTATGGTTGAGGCTTAGTGCAATTTTAAAATTTGATGAAAAGATGATTCAAAGACGCAATAATAATAATGAGAAAGAGCTGAAATGTGTTTTAATAGCCTCTCAGTTACTACCTTGATCGATAATATGTTTTTTGAAAATCTAATTTGCTGAATACGGATTTCAAGTTCTTAGTTATAAGCCGAATGGCTGAAATGAATCCAAATAGTTGGTAGTTAGGTTTTGAGTTTTTTTTATTTTAGTGATAAGCGTCTCTTTTTTTCAGTCAGGTCGATATCATCATAACTAGTTCATTGCTTTCTGCCATTCAATGCTATTTATACATTTATTTTTGTGCGTCCAGAAATTTTGAACAAATCTCTTGCGTATACGTTTTTCAAAATTTTGTTGTTTGAAATTATTGGTAATTAATGCTTCATTTTTGGGACTAGAAACAATTTGGAAGACAGACGGATAATCTCATACCATTTGTTTCTTATGACAAGTAAATCCTAGTAATTTAATACATAGTTTTGTTTTTCAATATTTGTGTTCAAAGAAAAACCACCCGAGCACAACATCAATAACTAAAGTAGTGTGGCTGATACATATCCAGTGCTTGTCATACATATGCTTGCCAGTCCTGAAAAACAATTTTTTCATGAAAAGGTCTAGCTTTCACTTGTGCCCATTGGTAGATAATTGTGTACTATAGAAGCAAAAATGTACTACAAGCACTCTAAAAAAACCGAATCTGAGATTATTCTCAATATACTCGAAATCCCGAAGTGCGGTTTATTTGTTTGCTTCTTTAATTTTCGGTTCGAGGCTCTCGTCGAAGATATCTTGTTTGCAAGTAGTCTCACCACAAGTAAAATGCAGCTAATGAGTTTTAAATCTGTATGGTCAATTTTAATGACCATTTCAAATCAGCGAGCGATGATCTAGTTTCAAAAATAACTGATTTATTGTTTTTGATCATTGATTGAAAAATCATAAATGGCTCAATCAGACATTTCAATTTAAGCGAGTGTTCATTGAAACATTACATTAATTAACACTTATTTGCATATCTTGTATTTTTTTATTCGGCTATTTTGGATTTCTTTTTTTTGAAGCTAGTATTCAGAAAAATGTATGTTCGATAAAAAGTGGTAACTTTTTTGCATCTTGAAAAAAAAAGTAACAAAAGTTTATTCGTTGAAAAGTATTTGAATTGAAATAAAAATCACTAAAGTAGCTACACAGCTAGCCAGTTGATGATATTCATCGATTAGTGGTTTTAGTCCACTACAAAAAATTCTGGAAATGATTTTGTTTTAGAAAGTGGAGAAATCGACACCCACGAAGATTTGGAAAACATGTGCGATTGGCATAAAAAGCGTTTGAGGTATTATTGCGTTTCTTGCAATGCGCCAATTTGTGTAAAGTGCTGGACTAAAAAATGCCAAGATCCCGACACGAAAGAGCACCGCGTGATACCATTTGAAAAGTATCTGGAATCTCTTGAAGAGTGGCAAGCTCAACTGATCACTGACTGTATCAGAGAATGCAAAGAGCTGGACAAAATGATTGACACATTCAAAAGCTCAGTTAAAAACGGGCAATTGAATTCTCTTCCGAATGATCTTGAAAAAATGGGAAAAAAACTCAAGGAAACAAAAGAAATCCAAAGTCAAATTAAAGCTGCAAGTGAGCGTTCTCCAATTGTAAAAAAGAATTTAACCAGCATTCAATTCTCAAAAAGAGTTGGGGCATACAAAACCGCAAATAGACCAACCAAAGAAGAAAAAAATTGACATAATTTGAAAAAGATGTAACTTTGTATAAATATAGAAGTATAGATCTTCTTCCACGTATAAATAAGCTAGCTGACCATAGAACCTAAGAATATTCTTTTGCTTTTCATTGCTTCATCATACTGATTTCAACGAATTAATGGTGTCGATAAATAAAAGTCTACTGTTAAAGATCATTTTCGGCCCAAATATAATACTAGTTCTTGAAAATAGTTCTGAAGAGGATTTAGATTTCGCGAAAACTGGTAAGAAGGTTTGCTAGACAAAGTCCTAAGAATCATTGAGAAAAACAGGTTTCCCCAAATTCAAAAAATTGCCAACATTTTTTTGAATCTGTTTCTTTACTGTAAAAACAAATAAAAATCAATTTTAAAAGTTTTCGTTTTTTTTTCAAATCTGTTTAATGAATCGTGTCTTTTTGCTTCGGAAAATTTGTTCGTGGGGCTCAGTTATAAAACGAAAAAGTTTCTACAAATCATCAAAAAACTAACTCTAAACAGTAGGAGGCTTTTCGGGAAACTCATGCGCCGAAACGCGACAAGTGTCCTACGAAATTCCGTTAGTGCACTCAATATTAGCAATAATAATTGTAGCTATCGAAAAAACCAGTTGGAACTTTTTTGTTCATAAAAACAAAAAAAACGCACTGAGTTATGTCCGATGTGGTTAACTCATAGAGTAATTTCGGATCGGGTACACCGTCTGCTCGTCACGCTATCTTATTTTCGGCCGGATAGATTCGTGCAACTTCTTAGTCTAATACCGATCCTAATCTTACTCTTATACTTACTAGTCTCAGGGTGTTTAACTAGTCTCTACTAGGCTCAATAGATCTAGGGTATACTGGTTTGTTGCGGCTGCTGAAGTTCTCTTGGAGAGGCAACTAAATTCTAAGTTAAATTCAAATCTCTCTGGTGCTGAAATTACAAGTAATTTCAGCACTTACAAATAAGTGGGTTGTTAGTTAGATGGATCATGATTGGTTAATATTATACACTTTACAGTGGTAAAATATCTAATTTATCCAATCATAAAATGTAGTTTAGATCAGGTTCCACCCATCCGGGTTTTACAGAGTTTTTAAGAATTATCTTTTTGCAATTCAAAGGATGGATAAGGAAAATTGGTATTTGGCGAACATCGTATTCTTGTCCGGTTCCTCTTGTTAGAGAAGTTCCAGGACGCTGGAGTTAGGGGCATCAATCGTTGTGTCTTCTTGTGACAACGACTGTGTTTCCCAACGAAATCAATCTGATTTCAAAATGGTTTGCTATGACGGGTTTTTCTGTAATATGTAGAGAACTTGTTTTTTGTTCAACCTCGTCGGGGAATGGCGTGGAGATTGTGCGTGGAGGGGATGCCTTGTAACTCGGATCTGTACGTATACTTGAACATCGAGGTGGTCATTGGTCTAGTTCAATGAAGTCCTTTTCTGCGAAGTCAAGTCGTACTCTAAATCCTTTGAGTTGTGATTGTGGACGGCATATCGGTTGTGGTTAGCCATTCTTGTTCGAGTGTAGTGGGGTCATGTTGTCTTTGGATGTTCGTCTTTGTTGTTGTGTGCTGATCTATATACTGCAAAGTATGATTAACATTTTATAAAATTTTTATTAGTCCAGTTTTTTAATTATGAATTTAGTTAGTTGTTTTCACAAAAGCATTTTGTTTTAGTTCGGTTAATTTGAAGAGTTACTCACCTTTGAGTACCTCTTATTAAAAATAGAAGTGTGGTCACAAAGCGTAGATGTAGCGCGGTGGGTTAGGCCGGCTATAGAGCATGCTCAGGACGTCCTCTCTGGTGGGTTAGACCAGGAGTGGGAGTATGATTTCGTGCGGTTTCTTTGAGAAGTCCTGTTATGTGATAACGTTTTATGTTGGGTTTGTGTTGGTCTTTCTTATGTTCTTTTGGTTGTGTCCTTTTTTCAAAAATCAAATTATTTTTGTTATGGGTTTGTCGTTCGACTTTTTTGTGTTTTATTATTTCTTTCTTAGACTTTATAATAGTCTTCAAAAGAATAAATTATCCAGTTTTAAACTGGGTTAATCCGGTTTGGGTACCGTTGGTTTTCTTTTCTTAGTCATGCTGTTATTTTATGATTTGTGGTGTTTAGTAAGCTGCGTTGGTTAGTCTGGTTTATTATATAATTCCTTTCCAACTGGGTTAAAGGAAAGTTTAAAACTTGTTATCGTGTGTTAGAGTTGTTGAGTGTGAAAACTTGAAACTGAAATTCATTATTTAAACAATTCTTCGTGGGCGAGCTGTGCGAGTTTGGATAGAATTCTTGTGCGAATGAATGAAATTATCAAAAGGTTAGTACTGCATGTTCTTTTTATCAATTTATTACATAGAATTTCAAATTTACTGCTAGTGTTTTTGAGGGAAATTTAAAGTTATAAACTTTCATCATATTTAAATTTACTGCTTTATTGGGGAATAATTTATAAATTAATTTACTACATTTGGTATAAATTTTATCAGATTATCTTGTGGAAAATATTAATGAAGTTTAGAATAATTTTAACAAGTTTTTATTTTTTATTTTTTTTTTCTGTTTTTTGCAGATGATCGTGGTATGAAGACTAAAAATCTACAAGAAACATGAGTAAAGAATGATTAGTATTAATTTAAATTTTTAGTTAAGAATATTTGTAAATTATATTTACCTGTTAATCGTCTGGGAAAAAGCCGTGGGGAAAGATGTCGCGTATTATGTCTGAATTTGTTAGTAATTTTGCTAGTATGCGAATGATGTTTTTAGTTTTGAGCAGTGGCCAAAGCAATTGAAGTGCTTTAATAGTTTTTAGTTCTTCGGTGCCTACTGCAAACTCATAAGGTGTGTTTTGAATAACTTATATATTTTGTGATTGTATTTAGTATTGTGAACAAATTCTAATATAGGGATTTCTATAGGTTGGATAAATTCATGTGGGATAAGGAAGGGTCTGGATTCTTCGGCATTAAAGGTCTTCGTGATGGGACAAAACACATTTGTGTTGTTGGGTCATAATTGCGGAGGATGCCGTGGAGGTTAGTATCTTTGATGCAATAGGTGAAATTTAGAAAAAATGGTGAAGTGTACTTCGAGTTAAAAAACTGAAAACGATGGTGTGGTTGTCTTGATGGAGTATGTAGATCAAAAGGATTTTGTATGAAGCGATAGTATGTATATGTGTGAGTTTGTTTAGTGCGTAACATAATGTCGTGTGAACAGTGCAAATCGCGTTCATGTGGTGCAAGAAAGTGAAAGGTTAGTGAAAATAATTGAAATTTTTCTTTAAAACTTTCGTAAGCTTGCATATCAGTTAGTGCTTCAGAAATGATGTGCTCATATTTTCTATCAAAAATATTGAGTGTGATTATATATGATGTTTTGATGAAGAATTTTTCTGTTAGTTGTCGGATAGCGAAGCGGTCGTCATCTAAAAATTGGTCTTGATTAGTTCGGATGATACTATGGTCGTAATATTCTATTGTAAATTCGTTAGCTCGGGGTGCAGTGAATGTTTTAGTGATTTTTCATATCCTATAAAAGTAAATTGTCTATGTGTTAGTGGTGTGGTGAGTTGATACAGCATATATTTATTCTTTTCTATATCGTTATGAGTATAAGATAATGGCAGGCAAAGGGGATTAGTAAAATGGTAATATGTTGTCCAATGAAGTGTAGGCATTAAAACATGTTCATCTACAAAACTACGTGTGTCGTTAGTGTCGTTGGGTGTGTTTAAAGTATATTGTGGGAATGAAAGTAAGGTGATTGCTAGAAAATCTTTCGTGTTGGTGTGGTGTGGATGATTAATATACTCGCAGGCTGTTCCTGGTTTGGTCGGGAATGGATAGTTTGGGAACTTTCTTTTGAAAGTGCGATAAGCTCGGTGATTGCTATTTGATGATTCGGTGGATGTGGATGATTGTGCTAACGATGCAGTATATGCTGAGGAGGGTGTAGGAGTAGGTGGGTTTGAGAATTCTATTGTGGATGAAATTCGATTTATAGTGAGGGTGTTAGGGCGTATTAGCTGTTGTTGTAGGGTGATAAAATTATCGAGTTCTTGGGAGATTTGGGGAGTATCGGGAGAATTAGATGATTGGCCGGAATGAAATGGAGAACAGGCTGGGGTTACTTGTGAAGCATAATAGGGAGTAGAAACGGACGGGAGTGGATTATTTAGTGGGATCGGTTGAAAAGGGGGCTTTGAAAAAACTGAGGAGTTGGTTTGAAAATTATTGGATGGAGATGGTTCGGAGTCTGCAAATTCGTCAGGGGTTTCTATATTAGGGTTATTAAGTTGTGAAATGGAGTATAAAACTGGAATATCTGAATTAGTATCCGAATTCATGCTTGATGTTAAATTAATAGTTAGAAAATCGGGTGGCGGAAAAGCAAAAAGTGGGATTATTGTTATTGGAGTGTTGAGGTTGGTTGGATGGGAATTTGAGCGGTGTAGGGATCCAAGTTGTCGGCTCATCCTGGGCTAAGAAAATTATTATTTTGAGACTGAAAAGCGGTGGTATGGGGTTGTTCTATAATTTTTTCATATGTATTATCATCTTGTGAATGATGTGTCATTATATGTTGTATCGGACTTTGCGATATGTTTGGTCTAAAATTTGGGTTATGTGTTATTGCTAGGTTTCGGAAATTACGTGGGACTAAGGATAATGGATAGTTATGTGGTAGGGGTGGCAACTGTGGTGCTGTAGGCGTTACTTCTATGTTATTAAGTTCTTCGTTGTATGTGTTCTGTGTTGTCGCTATTTTTGCATTATATTCTTTGATTTGTGCGTCTAGAAGAATTTTGTTAATTGATGATGAAAAAATTCCAAAAAATCCTGCAAATAGTATGCGTGCTACACTTGCTTGTCTATTTACTTGTGTGTGAATAGCGCATGTGTTATAGATTCCTTTTAAAAGTGAAAAAAGAAATCCTATGAAGTTAAACATTGCGTATAGGATAGTTAATTTTTCTAAGATGTAATAGCGCCATCATAGAAAATCGAGAATTTCAATTTTTAGTGTAACAAAGCTAAAAAT